AGTTGAAGTCAAAACCAAAGTTAAACCCAACAATACATTAGAGCACTGGAAATACATTTGAAGCCCCGGGGATTCAAACCAGGGCTTCAAACTTTCTCTCTCTGCCACGTCAGCTTTAACTTACACAAAAAATTCACTGGAAATGAGTTTGAAGCCCCGGGGCTTCAAACCTTCATTTTTTACATTTTTAAATATACATCTTCTAAATTTAAATTCATAAATTTAAATTAATTTATTATTTAAATTCATAAATTTAAATTAATTTATCATTTAAATTAATCGCAATGAGAATAGTGCATTAAAAAAATTACATTCATTAAAAAAATATTACATTCATAAAAAAATACATTCATTAAAAAAATTACATTCATTAAAAAAATGACATTCATAAAAAATACATTCATAAAAAAATTACATTCATTAAAAAAATGTTACATAAAAAAAACAACACTACAAAGAAATCACAAATTATTCGAGCGACTAAAGATATGTTCGATCAAATCCGCCGTTAGTGCATTGTGAATCTCTCAGCTTCGAATTTCTTGGCGGTTTCTTCGTTTCTTTTCTTTGGTGATTTCTTCGTACATAGGCGCCTCCTCATCCGGGTTGTATTGACAAATCGCAGTCCCGTTATCCACTATGATCATATTATGAAGAATAATACATGCGTAAATGATATTCCTCATTTTTGTTTGAGAATAACATTTCGACGGACGATCTAGAATGTGCCCTTTACTCTTCAAGACCCCAAAGGCTCGTTCAATATCTTGTCTCGCCGCCTCTTGAGCTTTTTTGTAGGTCTGGCGTTTAAGACCCATTGGTTCGGAGAGGGATTTGACAATCGTGGAATAATCTGGATATATTCCATCGGCCAAATAATATCCACGCTTGTAAAGCGTCCCTCTAAGATCAAAAGAGGAGTCCGGTGCGGTCTCATTAACCCAATCGTCAAAAACAGGCGATTGATCGAGAACGTTGATGTCGCTGTTCGAGCCCGCGACACCGAAAAAAGCATGCCAAATCCACAAGTCATTCGAAGCAACAACTTCGAGCATGATGGTAGGCTTGGGATGATCTCCCTGGGAGAATTGACCGTGCCATGCAGTGGGACAATTTTTCCATTTCTAATGCGTGCAATCAATACTCCCAAGCATGCCGATAAAGCCGTGTTTAGCGGCATGCCTTGCCTGCAACTGCTGGATGTCGCTTGCTGTAGGCTTGCGTAAATATCTTTTATGATAAATTTGAATAATAGGTTTTGAAAATTTATAAACACAAGACCTGATGCCCCGAGCCAACATCTTCAAGTATTCGTTGAACATAACAGATGCCGTCCCGTACACCAACTGACGGAGCGCGGCAGTGCACTTCTGGACGCTACTAAATCCACGTCGGCCTCTCGCATCAAACCGTTGGGTGAACCAAGGAACCTCGCGTTCAACATCGCCGAGTATGCGTAAAAAGAGAGGACGACTCATCCGAAAACGATTACTAAAATCCTCCGGTGTATAAACACACGGATTATTAAAGTAGTTGTTTAGAAGTGAAGCGTGGGCGGCCGCTCGATCCCGGTTTAAACGTTGTCGTCGGGTCCGTCGTCGGGAGGATTCAGCTTCTTCTTCTTGGCCATCTTCCCACCATTGAATACAATTCATTGCGAAACAACGAAAAAAGAGAGCTCTTTTTTCATCGTCGGATGAAGATGAACCCATTTTTAAAATATATTTTATAAATATTTATAATAAATAATAAATATTTTAGAGAGAATATAGTGAGAGATGTGTGAGAGAATGATTTTTTTAAGGGGAATTTATAGTTTTTTTTTAAATTTTGATTTTTTTTTAATTTGGGGGGGGGGGGAACGGCTATATAGCCGTCGGGGGAGGGGTAACGGTTGGCTGAGCCGCGTCAAACGAATGACGCAAAGGCAATGCCCCCGGGGTAACGCCACCGGGGGGCGGTGTTTAACGCCCCCAGGGCGTTAAAAGCCCCTCACGCCCCCGGGCTTTACGACCATACCCAGTGCCCTTAGTGTGTATTTAAACCCATTTCATTCCTTTGTTTCTGGACGAGGTCATAACTCATAAGACACTAGAAGGAAACAAAAAACAAATTAATAAAAGATGGGTGAGATGATACGCAAAGAGTAGCCAAGCAGAATTCCTCTTCAAGACTGTCTTCAGATATACTCCCTCCGTCCCGGAGTATTCGTCCAGTTTTGACTTTTGGAACTGTTCATCTAAACACTTTGACTCATCAAATTCTCTCAATGTGTAAGCCTAAATATAGTCATGTGTGATCTTGTTTGATTTGTCTTAACATATAGATTATTAATATATAAAATGAATTAAAGAAATGTATTAAATGGTGTGTAAAAATGAGAGTGGACAAATATTCTGGGACGGAGGTAGTATAAGTCATTGGAAAATAAAGAGAAGCTGGGCGGATATTTGGAAAAAAAACACAGAGCGAGACAGGTAGAGAAAACAGATCTGAGCGAAGAACCGGCCTAGGGTTCCGACCCTAGGTCCGGCGACGGCAATTGTGCAGCGGCGATTGGAGCGATGTCCGGAGTTGGCGACTGGAAGAGGGAACGGCGACAATTGGCGGTGTCTGGTCTGGGCATCTGTGGATTGTTCGAACAAGGAGAACAGGTGAGTTTCTGTTAGTTTCTTTGTTTGCTCCGTATTTGACGTTTTTTTCTTTCTTTTCATATTTAGGCTTCTAATTTATTTTTCCAAAACTATGAATTAGATTGTCTAATATTAAATATGTTTATTTTCAATTTCAATTTTATGTTTGTTAAATGTTTAAGTTATAGGGAAAAGAACTAAACTAAGAGTCATATCCCTAAAATAAGAGTTGAAACATAAACTCCTCTAAATAGGACTAATATACTTAATTAATTAAAGTATTTAATCTTCTCATGTACTCTATCCTTTCCGGTCGATCTCTTTTTTGCATAGCTCCATCTCCTTCTCTCTTTTCTACATAGCGCCATCATTTTTTTTATAAAATGTAAAACAAAAAAATATACCCCTCATTCTTAAAAACGGCAATATACATGTTGAGCCTCTACCGCTCTACGCTTTTACTCCTTGGATTTGCAACACTAGCCTGTAGCAGCAATATTCGCACAAGAAGTCCGCAGCCGCCGTTACCAAGTACTCAGTGCTCAGGAGGAACGTCGTCGTTGGCCGGAGTTAGCCTAGTTGCCGATACACCAACTCACGTACAGCCCCTCTCTTTATTCTCCAATCTGAAGTGCTACTACCATCGCACCTGCCGCCACCGTCGTCTAGCTATGCCGGCACCACAGTGTCACATTAACATATATACAATGTCAAGTAAAAACATATAATGTCAAACATGACAACATATAACGCTACATATGACAATGCACAATGTCATATATGGCAATGTATAATGATAAACATGACAATGTACAATGTGAACATTTAGATTTAAACAATTGAAAATGACTGGAGCAAAAATCAGCTTAAATAATCAAATGAGCCGATTGGAAGAATCAAATAAAGCAAAACAATTGAATCTAAAAATATAGCTTAAAACAATTAGAAGAGCATAACATAAAACAAATCTAGTATAGATTTGTATCCTTCAATAATTTTTTAGGGTTGATTTTGCTTAATGAGGAAGGAATCTCTAGAGTTGTGGAGATGAAACTCTAATATGCGAAAACAATGCATGCTAACCATTTCCAGATTCTGAAAAGAGAGGTGTTGCAGCTTGTGATTGGGGTGTGGCAGTGGCCTGCAATTTGGAATTTATCTAACTCCTATTTTGAGGAGTTTAAGTTTGAACTCCTACTTCGAAGATATGACCTATGTTTTACTCTTAGTTTGAGGGTTTTCTTTAAGTTATATTATAAGTGTTGAATTGTTTAAATGTTGATGTTGAATTGTTCAAATTTGATTTGTTGATTTTTTATTGTTTGTGTTATACTGTGTTTCCTACCATATTTTTTGTGCAGGTGGGGCCGGGGGTCTTTTGGAAATAGCTTCCCTACTTCCGAGTAGGCACAAGGTCTGCGTACACACACCCTCCCCAGACCCTACTGTAGTGGGATTCAACTGGGTTGTTGTTGTGATTTTTTATTGTCTCTGGAAGTATAAAACTTTCTTAGGCTAAATTGTTTGACAAAAAGATTGAATCTTTGTTCGTTGAATTAATTTGACTTTGAAGAGATTTTAGCTCTATGCTACTGTTAAACCTAAACTCGAAAAGGTGTTCCGAGAACTGATCTTCGTTTATGCTTGAATTGGACACAATTAGGAGTGCACGCCTAATCCAATTTAAATTGATATTCTTTTAAAGTCCAAAGTGCTTTAAATAGCCGAACTTTTCTAGAAACTAAGTGTCACTTGATTAGTACTTGGCTGCCTCATTAAGTGGTTTTTGCTAAACAAGGTTCTCGAACTGATTTTGTTAAATAACCGTAGTGTTATTGCAAAGTTTTTACGGTGATGTTTTCCACAAATCTTAATGCGCTATTCTTAGTAGTAACTTAAGGGTTGGTCTTTGGGTTGCTAAGGATAGTAGGGTTTAGAGTTGGGGTTGGTCTTAACATGAGCTAATATGAATGAGAAAATAGGGAAGAACCGTTGGTGGACCTTTTTTCAGCCTAACCCTGAGTTTAATTAGCAGTTTAGTTTCAGGATTAAGACATAATTAATTGATTAATAAGATTTGTTCAGTTTCTTTTCTACTAAAAACTATAAGTATTTTCAAAATGGTTTGAGTTAATTATTATTGTCTACGTTTTATAAAGTTTAAATGTGTGATTGTTTTATGTGTTTGTTTCTCTCTGAGTGTCTTCTGAGTTCGAGTTGCTGCTGTGGTTTCATTTCGTATCTCTTATCTGTTATCCTTTATCTTTATTTTATTTGTATTTTTATCTTTTCAGAATTATCTTTCAAACCCCCCATATCTTTTAGTTTTAGTTTTTAGATTTTAGTTAGTTGTTTTTATTCAATAAAAATGACAAAGTAAATTGATTTTCATAACTTAAAAAGTATCTTTCCTCGTGGGATCGACCCTTACGTGCCCTATCTATATGTTTTGATGAATATTGAATCATAAAGGGGGTTAAAAGTTAAGGAAAATAATTAATTAATTTGTAGGTGCTACGACACGCCTAACAAAAAGGTATGTTGGCCTTGTGGGTAGACAGCTGAGATTCCTTCTGCATTGATTCATCTTTCTTCTTCCCCTTGGGTTCTGATCCTTTGATCTTCCCATTTGATTCACTTTCTACCGATGGATCTATTGGTACATCTTCACCTTCTTCATCCACAGGGCCTTGGACTTGTTTTTCGCTTCTTAAAGTGACAGCCCGAAGTTGTTCCTTCGGGTTAGGCTCAATATTTGCTGGAAGACTTCCCAGTTCTCATACTTCGAGTTGTTTGAACACTTATTGGAGCTGGTGGTCCCTAGTCTTGTCTCGTTCCTTTACATTCTCTACAACGTTGTTCATCCTTTGCATGTACTCCATCATCTTTTCCATTTTAGCTTTGAACTTTTTCATAGGTTCCTCTTGTTGGTTCGGCCTTTGGTGGGTCGGAACATAAGGCGGGTTATTGCCTTTATAGTTTCCTCCCTTGTGGTTATTCTAATTGCCTTGCTCATAATCATCCCTAGGACGATTATATCTTTGAAAGTTATTTCTCTCTCCAATGCTCCTGATTGTTTGGAGCCTAGGGACCTTAACCTTTGTTTTCATATCGAGCCAAGTTGACCTCTCTTGCTTTGTTTGGATTAGGTGCATCATTGAGTGGGCATTGAGAAGTTAGATGATTCTGAAGGCATAGCTCACAGGATATGATGATTTCAGATTGTTGATAGTTATAACTTCTGGAGTTATAAGATTCTACTTGGTGCGCATGCTAAGTGTACTGATTAGATCGTGAACTGGTTGCTCCTAAATTCTCCATGATAGTCTATTTCACAATTCTTTCCATACTTGCCTTGAGTGCAATGAATTGGTCTACTTCGTACATTTTAGCCTTTAGTTGAGGAGCTTGGTCATCATGCCAGTACCCTGCATTAGAGGTTAGACGTTACACTAACTTCTCATTCTCCTCAAGAGTCATTTCAACCTTTGAGGAATGGTCAAGCTCTTTCTTGGATGCAACCAATAAGCCTTTGTAGAAATAGAACATTAGACTATCTGAGTCCATTAGTGCTGGAGGGAACTTGATCTTGAGTTTCTTGAGCCGATCCCATGCTTCGCTCATTGATTCTGATGGAGATTGTCAGAAATTCTAGATCGAGTTATTGATCTTTACAATGGCAGAAAGAGGGAAATATTCATGCATAAATGACTTATGAAGGGCTTCTCATGTCTTTAAGTGGCCATTGGGAAACGTATACAACCATGTCGCAGCCCGGTCTCAAAGTGAGAAAGGGAACACAGATAGCTTAATACGATCCATGGACAGTCCATTTGATCAGAAGGTTTGACATGTTCCGGAGAACCACAAGATGTGCGCTCTTGGATCTTCAGCCTTGGAGCCTCCAAACTCGTTGTGGGATACCATTTGAATCATAGCAGGCTTGATTTCAAAGGTATGGGCTTCACTAGTCGGGAGTCCTATCGAATCCTCCTCTGTATAAGCAGGGTTCATAGCCTTAAGGATCGTTGGCCTCAGATTTCCGGCCATCTCGATTTCTTCTTCCGTTGAGACTTCTTTTCTCAAAGCTTACTCTTCTCTCTCTTCGTCGTTGAACTCAAGTTGATGTGGAATAAGAGACGTTCGTTGTTGGAAGAAACTCTAAGGATTATTAGTAGCGGGAAGAGTAGTACCACCGCACGGGTGTTCATGTAGCTTTTTCCGAACGAATTCATAAAATATTTATTTATAGAAATATTTTTTTTGAAAATAGACCCTACCAACGTTCTGCTAGGCCAATCAGAATTCAACTAATAACTTTCTGCGCCAATCCTAGGCAACAATGCCTTTTGATAACAATCATAGTTTACTGTACGGTCAGTTTATTCCTGTTTCGTCTCTAAGATCAGCTCGAAGGAGAGTTCTAATGGAATCTAATTAGTCAAATTCTACTAGTTCGATCGGATTGTTTTCAAGTAATTGAAGGTTTGAGGTGTGATTAATTCAATTCAAAAAGGATAGGGATATAATTCGTATTTAGATAATGGATCTTTTTCAGACTACTATTACTGGTTGGAACACTTCTTACTTTTAATTTTACTTCTAGTAAATTAATATGAGTTAAATATTAATTCAATAATTAACTCTAGTTATAGAAATTAATTAGAAGTATTAAGGTGTTGGACTAATTATGATCTAGATTTCTCGATGAACATAATTATTTTTCAAGGATTTGGCTAACAACTTTTCAGTTTAATTAATCACAATAAAAAACCGCCATAATAACAACTAGTAATTTAATTAATTTAATGAATATTCCAATAAAATAATTTCATCTAAAAATTTCCATTATCCTACTACGAATCACATCCCTAATAGATCTAGCTACTCAAAATAATAAAATTAAATAGGCAATTCTCAAATAAAGACATAATTAAATTTTTAAATTAAATAAGAAGACTTATTTCGATAGAATCTGAGTATCAGGCAAGATTGGGGCTACAAATAGCTTTGAGAAATTCCAAAAGACTATACTAAAACTATAAAGCTACTAAGAATCTCGAAAATTGTGAAAAGGGAAGAATAATTGAGAGAGATTGATGACGAAATGAGGGAGGGCCGAGGGGTTTATATAGCGGTCAGATCTGGGGCATACATGTCTGGGCGTCCAACTTTGGACACCCCAACCCTCAGTCCACTCCACAATCACCATGTGTCAGAACCACCTCATCGATGCGTTTCCTCCAAGCAACCTAGGGCGTCCAAGTTAGGGCGTGCAAGTGTGATGCCCCAACTCTGGCTTCTAGATTCTTCGCGATTCTTCATGATTTTCAGTCCAATTCTTACCCAGTTTCGCCCCTTTTTGTCTCCGAACATTGATTTTGACTTCCCAGAAGTTGACTCCAAATCTGTAACCTTTTTTTCTAAGTTATGGTCAGAAAGTTAATAAATCAAACCAATTTAATTTGGAACTCTATTTTACCCTTACTAAAATAAAAACACATGTTTTATTCGTAACAAACATCTTTTATGTATATATTTATCACCATTTACACCCAATAATGTTTAAAATATGCAAAAAAAAAAAACAATGGAACAGAGTCATCACTCTCCCTTCGTTGATGATGAGGAAGTAGCAAATGAACCGAAATCTCCATTGAGAAAACCCAGGGTGAACAGACCTCTGATGCTACAGGAAAGAAGAAGGATAACATCTCATTGAAGGTGCCTCAGGAACAACCTGAAGAACCAAATACTGAAACAACCCAAGATGATAATGATGTATCCAAGGAAACCCCTGATTGGGATAAGGATACAAAGGGGTTTGTCAAAAAACCCTATGCATTCTTCTTCAAAGTGGAGAATGACTCAGATGAGGTCTTTATTCCTGAAGAGGATATGATGACTGTTTAGGATATTTTGGGACCTTGCTTAGTTGGATGCTTCACTGGGAGATTTCCCGTCATGAATGCCGTCCTAAGGCTGGTTGATGGTTGGGGTGTCCCATGACAAATTCTACCCCACCAAAGGGGATCGATTGTCTTCAAGCTCATAACCTTTGCAGATAGCCCTGGTCAAGGAAAACAGAAATGCAAGAACAAGAAGTTGATGTTAAGTATCCCTCATGATAAATTTATGTGGAATGTTAATTATTTTGCCACTATGCCTTTTTGCCTGAAACTTTGGAATTTACGAATGCAGTTCTCGTCTCCTAAGGCTCTGTCACACTTTTCCTCAAAATTAGGCACCCCCTGTATACAAATGGATTAACTAATTCTGTGGCAGCCAGTTCACTAAAGAGGAACCTGGGGGGATGATAAGCTCAAATGCAAGAATGTCAACTACTGCAGAATGCTTATCAAAAAGGATCTTTTAGTGAGCACATCCCTTAGTGTCAAAGTCAACTTTACAGGAGGAAGTTACTTACAGAAAGTTGAATATGAGGATATGCCACAATATTGCTACCACTGTGTGTTGGCCTTGAATGACGAAACTCACCATGTTTTGATGTGCCAAATAAATCTTCCAAGTACTAACCTTTTGCAGGTTTAAACGAGACATCCGAACCTCTTCTAACTTGGTTGATTTCACCAAGAAATGATTCATTCGAGTTTAGATTTCAAAATGAAAGATCTTGACTAAATGATGTTACACTTATGCCCTTGGACTTAAAAATATTTTCCAAATGTTCTTAAACATTGCTTGTTGGAGTTGTGCCCTGATGGCCAACTGTTTATCGTTATTCTATCATGTATAGGCAGATATAATATGTTTACACATCTCATGCTAATGTAAACAAATATTATATTCCTAGATTTATATTTAAAGATGTTTATCAGATAGTATTATTCTGCTGATGAGACTAACATCTTGAAATAAATATTTATCTGAATGTCAATAGTCGAGTATTAACGAGAGTGGGAAATCGTTAATGCATGTGAGACTAGTGTGTGCTGGATGTTTGACTTAGTCTCATAGTCAATGACGGTGTGTTCGCATCCGCACATGGGCAGATATTATCTGGAGATAATAGGATGCCGGACTGACCCATCCTAAAGATGTTGCTTGAACTTTTAGTTCATGCTCTAAGCATCTTTAGCGCGACCACGGGTGTAACTATCCTTCGACTTGAAGTATTACGTTTTCTGCATATGTGAACCCGCATGCTTTGATGCATTGCCCTAAAACGTAGATTACGTACAAAGGATTTGTCACTACTATTTTTAAAGAGATTAATGTCTTATGGGGCCCACTGATAAGTTATGACTGAGGATATTGCATGGCCATGCTGAGATGTTTTTATGACGTCTGTTCCTATCAGTAAGACTTGATAAATCAGTATATGACTTAATGGATACAAGCGGGATTTTATTAATCCCTTGCATTAAGTTTAGACATTGAGACAAAGGGATACAATTACACAGAGTCTGAGTCGTGGAAAGGTTTTGACGGTGCAAACGTCTTAACTTATAATCTGGGGGCATGATGTGTTGCTAGATACCGCTTATTGTTTATAGTATTGGTGCAGAGCCAATACTATGGCCAGCTTTATAAGTGCCTATACGGGTCACACACTTTGGATAATTTAAGGAGTAGGATTAAACAATGGGATAATAAGTCATTTGTATATTTCTAAAAATAGTAAAGTAAAATATTTTGGAATATAATATTATATATATATATAAATATTCGATTATATATATTATATATATATGCCGATTAATATATATATATATATATATATATATATTATATTCTGATTAATATATATATATATATATATGTATATATATATATATATTATATTGAATATTTTATTTTGGTTTGTCATTTTAATTATGAAAATAATTATTTTGACATAAACTATTTAAAGTATATATTTATACTTGTTTAAAAATGATATTAGTATTTTTATTTGATTTAAAATTAATTTTATATTAATTTTTTATGTCAAATAAAATACACTTTGAACATTTGAGTGGAGAAGAATTTCAAATATTCTTCTCATATCATCATTCGGCCATATGGATTTCAAGGTTGACAAATTGGTATTAACTTACTTGATTGATAAATTAGTGATTTGTAATTGATTTGTTAATTTGTCATTTTATGCATAATTAAAGTCTATTATTATAACCATTTTCTCACTTGAATAAAATAGACCACATTCATCAATTTGGTCCAAGGGAATTTTCGGCCACTTCATTTTAGTGAGAGAAAATTTATTTTGTGTTCCATTAATATCATTTTGTGTATATAGAAAATATCTATAATATTTTATATATTATTAGAAATATTTTCTATAGAAATATATAAGATTAGTCAGAGAATTTGGTCCAAGGGAATTTTCGGCCACTTCATTTTAGTGAGAGAAAATTTATTTTGTGTTCCATTAATATCATTTTGTGTATGTAGAAAATATCTATAATATTTTATATATTATTAGAAATATTTTCTATAGAAATATACAAGATTATTATTATCCCAATTTTAATCTTTATATTTTATACTACTATAATCTTTACTAGCATAAAGATTGTGGTAGACTCCGGCGTTGTTCGTGTGTCAAAGTTGGAGACCGGACGCTTGAACGGTTACGTTTACAATTTCAACGCTCTTCCTACGACTTCTTTGTTTTTACCGCTTCTGGAGAAAGGTATAAATTTCTTACTACTATATGTTTTAATACGTGATTCTGGGCAAGATAATCATGTTAGGATGTTAAAAGTTTTATATTCCGCTGCCTATCCTTGCATGGTTACCTTTCATTGCTTTGATTGGGTCATTTTTCAAAATCGGGAATAAAATCATTTTTGGGTTAGAAATTGAGCAAACGGTACCCTATACCGTACTAACAGTACCTAGAGACCTACCGTTAGGCTACTCGGTACAACAGGTAGGTACTGCTCGGCCAAAAATTGGCTAAGTGTCAAAGAACTCTAACGCTATACCATACCGTCACAATTCAGGAGCTACCGACTATTAACATATAGCTCAGCCCGGAATGAACTATAGCGGTACCCCCTACCAGTAGCCTACCGACCGTAAGGCTGGGAGCTCAGCCCAAATAAACTTCATTATGGCAGTACCCTATACCGTCTTAACAGTACTGTAACACCTCAATCCGTCCAGGTCTGCAACCTGTTGGCCTTGAATGCCGTACCCCGTAACCGTTTTGATGTGCCAAATAAGTCTTCCAAATGTTACTAACATCTTTTGCAGGAAGAAAACAAACGCCAAACCTCTATTAGCTTGTTTAGCATCACCGAGATATACTCTTTCGGGTTTAGAAATTATTGTGTACAGGTAATGATATATTTTAATGATTTACTTATGCCCTTTCACTCAAAAGTTATTTCTAAAAATGTCAAAAATATTCTTAGTTGGGGTTATTTTGAAAACGGAACACGAAAAATGAGTTTTGGAAAAATTGCACAGGTCATACAGTACCTTGCTACCGTGTACACGACACCATGGTACCGCCGGTAGCCAAGTGAACGTACCGCTGGACGTTTCACCCAAGTGTTACACGGTACCCCCCCTACCGCGTAACGGTACCTGGGTACCAGACGGTAGGCACAGACGGTTGGGCCAACCCCTCCTAACCCCCTACCGCCAGAGGCGAACCAATCTTTTGGCTTACACGGTACCCCCAAACGGTAGGCCATACCGTGGGTCACGGTACCTAGGTACCGGACGGTACTGACCCTACCGTGAAGGGTACCGGATCCGTTATAGCACTGTAGCAAATTGCCAATTTAAATTCAAATCACCCCTAATCACTTCCTAACGGCATTTAAGGTTAAAAATTCATATTTTAACATTCCAAACTCCTATATAAACCCCCTCTAAGCCTCATTTTATTAACAACAACTTCCCAATTAAATCTAAAGCCTCTTTCTCTATTCTTGAGGGTTCTTAAAGCTTTGTTCTTATTTTTCTTACTCTTTTGAGTAAAAAGCTTTCACTATTTTCATACACTCACACACAAGGGCATTTGTGCTTCATTATTTTATATCTTGCTTATAGGCTTTTGTTGTTGTTGATTTAATCTTTTGTTCTTCTCCTACCCAACTTACATTTGTTATCATTTTGGTAGAGAAGCAACACCAATCTTTTTATTGATTTGTAAAAGGTGTGGATAGCCTCTAAATCCTCATTGTAAGGTTGAAGATAGCCTTAAAATCTTCGGTTGTAAACGGTTGAGATAGCCGTAGTAAAATCTCATTTGCTTATTGNTATAGGCTTTTGTTGTTGTTGATTTAATCTTTTGTTCTTCTCCTACCCAACTTACATTTGTTATCATTTTGGTAGAGAAGCAACACCAATCTTTTTATTGATTTGTAAAAGGTGTGGATAGCCTCTAAATCCTCATTGTAAGGTTGAAGATAGCCTTAAAATCTTCGGTTGTAAACGGTTGAGATAGCCGTAGTAAAATCTCATTTGCTTATTGGCAAGTGTTGTTTGCCAAACCTCGTTTGAGTCTTCTTAGTGAAGCCAAACAAGTTAGTGGAGGTTAAATCCTTGAGGAGGAGCCTCGAGGTACTGGAGTAGGGAGTTCCCGAACCAGTATAAAATCGCTTGTGTCGTATTTTTATCTTTTATACTTTTCTTGCTCTTTTTCCGCTACTACTTTGCGCATAAGTTTTTGTTTTTATTAAAAATTTTCAAACACCCTAATTCACCCCCTCTTAGGGTGTAAACCGACTTTCAATTGGTATCGGAGAAGGAAGTTTGATCCTTTTACACTCATCTTTTATTTCTTTTTACGACACATGGATTCAATGAACTCCCAAAGCATTACCAAGCCACCATTCTTCAATGGGGATAACTATGGCTATTGGAAAATACGAATGGAGAATTTCATTCAATCTATTGACTATGATTTATGGATAGTCACTACTCATGGTCCGTTTGTTCCTATGACAACTGTACGTGAACACCAAGTTCCTACTCCAATGGACAAACTCACCACCGAAGACAAGAAAAAACTCTCCTTGAATGCCAAAGCACTAAACGTGTTGTTTTGTGCCTTGGGTCAAGATGAGTTTGCTAGGGTGAGCTCTTGCAAATCCGCAAAGGAAGCTCCTAGAAGCCACCCATGAAGGAGATAATGACACAAAAGCTACCAAGATAGCTTTAGGAACATCCGAGTATGAAAACTTCAAGATGAAGGCCGGAGAATCCGTTCAAGATATGAACAAATGATTCAACCTCATTGTCATGAATTTGAGTAAGCTAGATAAAGTTTATCCTACTAGTGAGATTAAAACCAAGATTATATTCTCTCTTCCTAGAGAGTGGCATAGTCTTGTTGTAAATTTGTTGCCCAAATGTGCGGATGTTGAAACCTCCACCATTTGGAGCAGCCTATACTCTCACGAGCTTCTTTTGAAGAAAATGAAGGAAGAAGAACAGGTTCCTATCATCAAGAAGACCATGGCACTCAAAATTGATGACCATCCGGAAAGTGAAGGAGAAAGTGATGAGGAGCTTTCCATGTTCAAGAGATACAAGAAGTTTATGAAATGGAACAAGGGCGAATCCTCAAAAAGATTTCCATCAAAGAAAGGTAAACCTAATCAAATAACTTGCTATGAATGTGGAAATGTAGGTCATATCAAACCGG